CCCCGCCGGGTTAACCCCTTCGCGGCCCCTGCGGCGCCCGGCCGCCGACGCCCCAGAGGTCCCCACCCACCCGCCTCCGGCCGGTCTCTGACCTGGATGGCCTGAGCCACCCGGCGTCAGCAACAGAAGCAACACATCTTTTCAAAGCAAGCACTCCTTAAGTCCGCGAAAGTGGCTAATTATTAAGGGGAACCACAGATGGGGGGAGGGGCGGCGATGGTTCAAGCGGGGTGGGAAAGAAACACCGGGAAGAACGAAAATTACTCAGTACGCCTACCTGGCTCTGAGGGTCACTGGCCGAGCTTTCCTCCTGGCACAAATTTGCCCCTACAGCACCCTCTGGTGGACGTGCTGTCCATTCTTTCGGAGCTTCCCCATACTAAAACCCCTAACATCAGGAAGCTTACTTAGCATTTGGGGGGATTTTAGTTGTTTTAGAGGTAAACAGAGCCCTGGGGGCACGTGGGAATCTGGGGCTTTACTGACATTAGATCAGAATTTCCTATTTTGGACTTACGCAAATAGGTAGATTCCTTAGCTAAAATGTAATCCTCAAAATCAATAGGTGTATAATAAAATGTGAAAATATATGGAAATAGAATAATGCAGCTAGAAGTGATTTTCCAAGAGGGGCCCCCTGTTTTGTTTACCATGTATTTTGGCATACACCTCAAGACCTAGCACACACTGGGTACTCAATAAATAATTGTTGATCTCAGTTCCTGTCTTTCTCACATACTCACATTCGTTCATTCATTGAACAACTATTTTTCAAGTGCTAAATGCTGGGCTATGAGCATCACCCAGTCCCTGGCCTGACTTCCTCTTAAGTGTCCCCAATACTTTCAAACCAAGAAGCCAAAACAGGGGTGTAGAGAAATATTAAAAGAAAACCGAAAAGAGAAGGGCTGGCCTGTCACAGATATTGATTGTTCCTGTGTGACCAGCCTGGAAAGAAACAGGAAGAATGCAAGATGGAGTGCCTGGTGGTGAGCAAAGAGCTTTGCAGAAGGAAGTAGAGAGTTTTGTATAAGAAATGAAGGTAGGAAAAGACAAAATGTGCCAATACTCAAGAAATTATCTGAACTGCCTAGATCAGGAGTTTGTGCACACCTAAAATCCAAGTGAGATCAATCTAGAGAAAAAACAAGAAGTCTTTAACCAAATTTCCTCCCAGAAGAAAGACTATGGTAACAAAAGAGGGTGGTTCAGTACTGTGCAGAAAAAAAAAGATACTAGATCCCTCGACAGATAGATCCCTATTGGGGAGATAAATACACAATAACCATCGTAACCATCCAACTAGCTTTTGATTTACCTATTCATTCGATACTTCTTTTGGTGTATTTAACAAAATCTTTAGTATTTAATAAATGCCAGGCACTGTACTAGGTTCTGAGATATGTGGTGACAAGACAGATGGAGTCCTTGTTCTCAGAGAACTTCAGAAGATTCACTTTTCACCCACTTGGATGGCTATAACCAAAGGGAAGGACAATAACAAGTCTCGATGACAAGAGGAGAAATTGGAACTGTCCCACCTTGCTGGTAGGAATGTACAATGGTGCAGCTGCTTTGGAAAACAGCCTAGAAGTTCCTCAGAAAGATCAAACATAGAGTTTAATGTTACCCAGCAATTCCACTTCTAGGTATATTTCCAAGAGAAATGAAAACATATGTTCACAAAAAAATGTGTACATGAACGTTGATAGCAGCATTATTCAAAAGAGCTAAAAAGTATATTAAATAAAAATTACAGGAGGCCATTGTTTTGGACTAATTTCCTGCACTAGGCCTCAACAGACCAGACTAAAAATCAAAATGGAATCACCCCTGCTTTAATCCTTATGTGAAAGATGTAACCTGAAGTAACCTGATGTTAATTCGTCAGTTATTTTCCTATTGTTCTGTCTTCCTGTCTCCACCTTACAAAGAAAATAACTTTGAAATGACCAACCCTCTTTTTGTTCTTTGTTTCTGCTTTCTTCAACCTTTTTCTGTCTATAAAATCAGCCTCTTTTGCTCAGCTCATTGGAACACTTATTCTATTTTATGAAATGATGTGTTCCCCAATTCTATAATCACAATAAAGCCAATGGTGATCTTTAACTAAAATTGTTGCAATTTTGTCCTTTGACAATTGGAAACAACCCAAATACCCCTTAGCTATGATGGGATAAACCCAAAATGGTATATCCATACAATGGAATATTATTCAGCCATAAGAAGGAATAAAGAACTGATATACACTATGACATGGAAGAACCTAGAAAACATCATACCAAGTAAAAGAAGTGAGTCATAAAAGACTGCATATTGTATGGTTCTATTTATTTTATTTATTTATTTATTTATTTTTTAAAAGATGACCAGTAAGGGGATCTCAACCCTTGGCTTGGTGTTGTGAGCACCACGCTCAGCCAGTGAGCGAACCGGCCATCCCTATGTAGGATCTGAACCCGTGGCCTTGGTGTTATCAGCACCGCACTCTCCCAAGTGAGCCACGGGCCGGCCCTTGGTTCCATTTATATGAATGTGCAGAATAGGTAAATCCACTGAGACAGAAAGATTAGTGGTTGCCAGGGCCTGGGGTAGAGGGAGAATGGAGAGCAACTGCTAATGAGTTTCTTTTTGAAGTGATGGAAATGTTCTGGAATTAAATAATAGTGATGGTTGCACAACTTTGTGATTATACTAAAAAGTACTGAATTATACACTTAAATGGGTGAATTTTATGGTATGTGAATTACAGGGCAATACTATATATATCAAGAAGTATTGGGGCTGGCCGGTTAGCTCAGTTGGTTAGAGTGTGCTGCTGAGAACACCCAGGTCTAGGGTTTGATCCCTGTACCAGCCAGTCACACACACACACACAAAAAGCGTTTTCTACTAATTAATTAATTTTAATTGATGCATAATTGTACATACTTATGGGGTGTGGGAAAATAGCCTAAGTGATTCATTTTCAAGAATAGCTTAACAAGGGTTGCTTGATTAACTTGTGTTATGATAACCCGTGAAAGTGCACTTTCCCTAGGGTGACCTCTCAAGATGGTGACTGGTGACCTTGCTCTTTTTACGTCCTGGTTCTTCTTCCTACTCAGGACTTCTGGTGGGCCTTTCTTGCGGGCTTGTCCTGAGCCCACCCCTTTCTGCCAAAGGAGACAATAATGCCTTATAAGGAAGTAATAAAACTTAGGTGATGTCTGGGAAGATTGTTTACCCCATAGTACTCATCCAATGAGGAACTGGGGGAGGGACTTGCACACTAGGGAATAAATTGCTCAATGTAACCATTTTTGGTGTGCTTGCCTAACAAACACCCGATCTTGCAAGACAGCCATTAAAGTCTCACTTTGCTGTACCCCATGTCTCCGTGTCCAACCTTTGGCATTGGATGGGTGAGGGCATTTCTCACATGTAGTACATGTGAAATTTTGGCACATGTATGCTCTGTAATGATCAAATCAGAGTGGGACACCCATTACCTCAAACATTCATTGTGTGCGGACCATTTCAAGTCTTCTCTTTGAGCTAGTTTGGAATTTTTTTTGCGGAGGGGTGCAGTATGGGGATAAGAACTCTTGACCTTGGTGTTACAACCACCACACTCTAACTGACTGAGCAAACTGGCCAGCCCTTGAAATATACAGTAAGTTATCCTTAAATACAGTCACCCTAGTGTGCTGTCAAACACTAGAACTTATTCCTCCAATCTAACTGTATTTTTGTACCATTAACTAATCTCTTCCTATCCTCCCCTCCCCTTTACCTTTCCCAACCTCTGGCAACCACTATTTTACTGTCAGCTTCTATGAAATCAACTTTTTTAGCTCAAGAAGCACTGAACCAGGCAATGACAATATAGTGTGATAGATAAGCCTAGAACAGGGCCTGGCATGTAGTAAGCACTTGATAAATATTGTTGAATGAGTAAATGAATGAATGACCAAATGCTATGAGAGAGAAAGAGCATGGTGTTGATAAAAAAGACACGAGCCAAAAAAAAAAAAAGACATGAGACAGGCACAAACATGATGATTTTAAGGTGAGACCTGAGACATGAGTTGAAGATTAGCCAAGAAAGGAGGTAGGATGGGAAGAACTATGTTTTAGGAAGAGAAGAATGTTCCAGACAAACGGAACAGCATATTCAAGGGCTCAAAGGTAGACGGAAAGAAGCAGTAGAACTGCAATGAAAGAAAGTAGGAGCCAATCCAAAGATGAATCTGGTCCTGAGGGGCAGGCAGGAGGGTCCTGTGAGTCATAGTAGGGAGTGTGGACAGCATCCCCAGGAATGGGGAGCATGAAAGATTTATCAGCTCATTGTCCTTAATAATAATAATGGCCAACAATTAACGATTACTAAGGATGTGCTAGAGTTAACGCAAAGTTCTTTTTTTATTATTTTTTTCTT